GACGACAGGTCACGAGTTTTCACACTTTTATAAGTTTTGATCCATTTCCATATTGGGGTTAATTGTCCCATTACAGCTTCAGGTTGTGAAGTCCCATCCTCCCAGTTTGTTCTCCTCAATTCGCTGTTTATACTTTTTGGGCCTGAAGCTGCAATGGTGTCCTTGGTTCTCAGGCTGGAAAAGGATTGTTTTGTCTGCCTAAACTGTGAGGAGGACTTGCTAACACTTTATATGGAGTTCAGAGTTATATACTAATGCAGTACAGAATCTGGAAAATATGAAAGATGAAACTTAAGGCGTCAGTTAGGTGGAGGAGATGTTGCACAGCTCAGCTGCCAGTGCAGAATTGGGATTCTTGGCACAGGACTTCATGGGAAGGATCCTGGCATGACCATGAGACACTGTCTTCTCTTTCCCTGGTTCTGTGCCACTCACCGTGTGCATCACTCATGAGGGAAGAGGCTGTGTGAAGAGAAACACAGCATCTCTGTTAGTATCCTCCTACTGTTAAAATGATGGTTGCAGCCAGATTGAGTGCCTTCAATCTCCTTGCAGTGGTTTCAGGCACTGTCAGGAAGGTCATGGAGGAAATTCTCCATTAGACACACTGTCTTCTTTCCCCTCCCCTGAAAAAGAAAGGATTTTATTAACAAAGTTATCATTTTCTTTTATTTAACTATATCAATGAATGGGTAAGATTACAGAATATCCTTATTTTTCTAAATGCTGTAATTAGGGCACAAGTGGACATGGCTGTTCAGTGGTCCAGCAAGGAAAAAGGTAAAGCTGCTGAGAGGACTATGAGCTGATGTTGGGGACAGCCTCAGCAGTGCTGCCTTAAGCTGTCTCACAGGCTTCTAGATGGCCTTTCCAACTTTTTACCAAAACCACTATTTCTAACACTATGCTGTAGCATTTGAGGATCTTTCGGACCTTGCAGACCAGAAGCTCTGCACGGATACCTTGGGAACTGCTGCTAGGGGTATTCCTCTTATTTATGCCATGGGTCACAGGCCAAAGCTGGGTTTAGCTTGTCTCAGCCAAGAAAAAGCCCCAGGCAAGGTTTGGGAGTTGGATTCAGCCTTTTCACACATGATGCTTATGTGATTGAATTTTGAAGCTTGCACTGTTGTGAATCAGGTTTTCTGGATGCTTGTGTTTGTACATGCTGTCCTCTGTCAGACTGTAATGCTGGTGGGTCTGTTTTTAACCACTTTTCTAACTGCTAATTGGTATGAACTGTAACATGAATCACCTTGATTGAGATAAAATTTTGGAAAACAAAAAGAAGTTTAACTATGTCCATCTGTACCAAGTTGGTGGGTCGGCTGGTTCAGGGAGATCTGGGGCTTTTCTTACCCTAGTCTTCACTGAAATCAGGGTGAAGATTGTTGTTTTATTTAAAGCTTGCAGCTTTTATGTATGTTTTAAAAGAAAAAATTGGCAGTAACCTCACTCTTGTGTCTGCAGTGGTGGCAGACAATCCCACTGGATTGAGGATTGTCCTCCCTTAGGTCCTGGCAGCAGAGACTAGCTGTGCCTTAGGGCTGGCCATGTCCAGGTGGACCCCAATGTTGTGTCAGCCCCCAGGAGTGGGGACCACACCCACCTTTAGGGTCGTGGCCCTATTTCTACTGACATTCACCCCAAAAAAGATTTATCAACACTGAGTCTGGGGATTTGCTGGTCCATGCTGCTCTCAAAGGACACACACCAAGACTGTAGGGGATGAGCAAGAGGAGCCTCTTCTTAGCTTCCCTTTGGCTCTCCAGAAGGTCCTTCTCACTGTTCCCACTGTCCCCATGGTTCCCTTTTCCAGATGGCATTGACAGCAAAGACGTGGATGGAGTAGATGTTTGTGGCTATGGGAGGGCCAGGAATGGATCATGTGAGACTCATTTAGGAGCCTGCCTTGCCCCACATCAGCCCCTTTGCCCCAAACAGTGTTTTCCTTCCCTTTCCATTGTCACCACACAAACCATAGCTGCCTTATGCCATTGGGCATCACTAGCAGTGGCCAACCCATACAGCATGGCTTGAGGGTTGAGAGAGACTTCACTTCACTCCTTTTGCAATAAAAGACATTTTCCCAATGCTTTTCCTTTGACTTCTTCCTTGGGTGTAAGTGCCATCCATACACTTGGCTGATGATCACATGGGGGATGAAGCTGGAGCTGCTGAAGACCTTTGGGTAAGTTGACAACTTAGGGCCTAGGGCCCTCACAGCCTTGCAGGAGATCCTCAGTGATACAGAGGTCCTCCTAGAATTGGTGCTTTGGGTTTGAGTTTGGTTTACATCCTCACAAAACCTGGTGCAGTGTGTAGACAGCGTGTCTGAGGTTCACCATGGACATGGGGGCAGTGAGTGGGATCAGCTCCATGCTGGGTCTCAGCTACATGGCAGTGCTTGAAAACACATCCACAGGGAGGAGTGTTAATGGCAAAATCCAAACCCCAGAGGAGCTACAGCAGAAGCCCAATTTGTTGCAAACTGGATTTCAAGGAGGTGCCTATGGGTGATAGCAGAGCAGTGGCTGCTGGCCCAGGAGACCTGAGCTGTGAGCGTGTCCACACCTGCCTGAAATCACAGCTTTGATTAAAAGTAAGAAAAAGCCAAGAGGCAGGCAGAGCCCGAGGCTGGGGGTGACTGTGGTGAAAGGACAAACTGACAGCAGCAGAGCTCCTTTGGGCACATGGCCAGGCTGGTAGCCTCAGGAAAAAGCACAGCCTCCTCAATCCAGGCAGGAGCTGCCAGCCTGCAGATCACTTGTGCCAGGAGAGCCATGAATATGGTTTGTGCTGACACAAAACCCCAGAGGCCAAGTAGAGAAAAACAGATTTTTATTTGTTTGGGTTTTTTATTTTGCCTGTAGGGCTGGGTGTTTTTCAGCTCAGCAGTCATCAAAGAAGGCAGTAAACTTCCCCTGCCAAAAAACAGGCAGCCTGTGGTGAGCCAGGTTCTGTAGGAGAGTCTCATGTCACCAGCACCTCCAGCAAAGAGCACGTGCACAGCACTGGGAGTGTAAAAAATCAACCAGGACTGAAGCTTAGCAAGGCAAACAAGATGTCCCTCCAACAGGATGCAGCCCCTGTGTGGCAGGGGTGTGGAGAGGTGTCTGTGGAACCACCTGCTCACAGGATGCCTCCAGCACCTGTCCCCTATGGCTTCCTATGGCTCAGCTGGGCAGCAGGGAAAGGCACTGAGGGACAGATTGGAAGGGGATGGGGGGACATTTTTGCAGCCATGGGACCAGGCATCCCGTATCACCCCCAGGGTTTGCAGGAAGTCTCAGTGTTGCCTATTTTTCTCCCCATCAGCCTGGGGTGCAGGTGAGTGGCAGAGCTGTGTGCATGCAGAGCACCTGGATCACAGGGGCAGAGGTACTGTATGAGGGTGATAGAGTCTGGCTCTCTCCTCTCTCAGCACTGTGGGCATGAGCTTTGCAGAAAAGTTTTTTTAAGTGCAGGAACAACATCCAGAGGAATTTTGCTGGGCCGCCCTGGGATCCTCTGGTTCCCCCAAGACCAATATGGGGAACAATTTGGAGCTTCGAAGCAGCAAATGTAGAAACACTTTCTCAGACTTGAGGGAGAGGCCTCATTGGAAACCACCATCCTAGCATGGGAGAAAGCCCGTGGTAAGGATTCAGTGCTGTCCTGTTAACCCTGAGCTGAACTGCCAGACTGAACATTGCTTTCCCTTTCACATCCCTGCATTAAGGCTGGTTTTCCCTCTCCACTGCCACACCAGCGATAGCATTACTGCAATTCCAGCTGCTTTCAGGGGCATCTAGAAGATGTTCTGGCTCATCCCACTTGGCACTGCTGTTGTGTCCATGCAGGGTCCTCATGGAACAATGGACCTACTGATGGATAACAGGTCTGAGCCAGTTTTGGATCTGCTTCCTCTGGGCACCAGACAAGCTCTCGACTGAGTACAATGTTCCCCAGACCCATTTTGTTTACTTTTTGTATGGAGCAGCCCATGGGCAAACCCCTAAAAACCAAAGCTTTTTCTTGCCCCGGGGCTACAAACAGCTTTACCTCCCAAGTGCCCACTGGAAGTGTGCTGGAGCCAGCAAAGTAATCTGTCTCCCACTTTGGGAAGGCACATTGCAGCCCAGAGATCCTTAGACTCTCTTAAACTGCTTAGTCATGTCAACCTAAAATTTCTTTTTGCTTAAAAAGAGCAGGAAACATTAGACCAAGAGTGGAAAGTGGTTCACAGCCAGCCTGGTCACCCCAAGCCTTCAGGAGCTGCTGGGACACCATTCTGGAGAGATCACCTCTGTGGGCCAAAGGATACAGAAGGATCCACCTGTCATGGACAGGATCTCCATTAACACAGGCTGGGAAAACATACTCAGTGGGGAAATTGAGGCAGCCTGGTACTGAGGCTGGTTTGTTAATTGTCTGAACTCTCTGAGGAGGCCATATTCTCTCCTGACACCTGACAGATTACACCTTTGTCCTTTGTCCTAAACATGGTCCTAAAACACACATGGAGCCTACTAAGTATAAACTTCTGCATGACTTGCTACTAGGATTTAATATTGACTGCCATGAGATATCACCACATTTTATAGGCTTACCTGAATGCAGACCATGGACATGGTTCTCAGTAATTTATAAAAGGGAGAAAACAGCTGCCACAGCACTAGCAAGTGCTGTAGCTTTCTTGCTGCTCGGATAGCTCAGGCCATGGGAAATGCAAACTCCTAACTCCTGCATCAGCTCCCATCTCATATGCAGGCTGCAAATTTGGTGCTTTCCTCTTCAAGATAACTACAGACTGCTATCTGTAAAAAAAAAGTACTTTGCTGCAGCTGCCTCTTTCACTAAGCACATGAAATTTTCAATGTCCATGGGGATCATCTGTGAAACTGGGTAACAAAGAAGACCATGTAATTGCCTTTAGACAGAAGAAGCGTGCATGGCAATTCTGGGTGGGAAAAGATTATGAGCAGAGACTGTGTTTCTGTCCATTACACTTGTCTCAATGCAGTAACAAAGACACCCATCCAATACATTTTAATAAATTATTTGTAGAACAATTGCCACAGAGAAGAGAAGCCTCAGTGTTTCCTTCAAATTGCACTCTGAAATATTGCTGCATTAAAAATAAGGAAAATTCCCAGGTTATTAAAGCCACTAGTAAACTAATCACCAGTTGCACAGCTGAAGAGGAGCATGTTAGGAAACCCAGAGGAAATAGGCAACTTCGTCCAGATCAACGGGATAGTCGGTGAGCAGCACCGGGGTCTTCTCAAACAGCTCCCCCTTGTAGCTGCGCCACTTGCCCGCTGGCAGGTAGACATCGCGCTCCTGCTTGCCCATCTCCAGCACAGGAGCCACCATCAGGGTGTCCCCAATGAGGAACTGGGAGTCGATGCGGTGCGTGGCCTCGTCGCGGGGCGAGATCCACCAGATGGGACGGATGATGGGGTCGCCCGTGTCGGTGACCTCCCCCGCCAGCTCCAGCAGCAGCGGGGCCACCAGGGACTCGTGGAGCTGCGTGAACTTCTGGGCGATCTCCACCACCTCCTTGTCATAGAGCCAGGGCGGGATGGAGAACTGCATGGAGGGCATGAAGGCCGACAGCTCCAGCCAGCGCACGTACAGCTCCCGGTTGGGGATCCCAGCCGCCCCCTCCGTCTTGTTGGGGAGGAAGTTTCCTCCAATCATATCTGGCAGTACAAAGGGGTAGCCCAGCATGCTGATGGTGAGGACGGTGGGGATGAGGGACTTGAGGCCGAGCTCGTAGCCCCAGACAGAGTCGCGGTCAATGATGCGGAAGAAGCAGGAGATGTTCTGTGACTGGTAGCCCACGCGCACCTCGGCCAGCTCGTAGAAGGGGATGGCCATCTCCGTGTAGCGCCGGGACCAGATGCTGGGGTCGGACAGCGGGCGGAAGGTGCTGAACTGCTTGGGCAGGTAGCTGGTCTCGCCTGCGTCAAACTTGAAGGACGAGATGCCGTACTTGTGCCGCAGCTGGCGCAGGTGGCTCTGGAACCAGTCACGGGCTGCTGGGTTGGTGAAGTCCAGGATGGCCCCGATGCCATTCCACCACTCCACCATGGCCGGCAGCCACCCCGAGGGCTCCTTGATGAACAGCTGACGCTCAATCCCCACTTCATAATTGGGCGAATCTATGTGTATAAAAGGATGAATCCACAGAGTGACCTTAAAGCCATCTTCTCTCAGCTTTGCAAACATCTCTGTTACATTGGGGAACTTGACAGGGTCAAAGTCAAAATCGCCATAGGCCTGGGTGTACATGTCATCAATTTCTATGTGGCTGCAGTTAAAATGGTACTTCTTAATGTCTCTTGCAAAATTCAGAACTTTATCCTGGTCGATATCATTCTTGTAGAGGGCCCATGTGGACCATATGGGGTACCGGAAGGCGTTCTCAGCAGGGATCTTGGAGGGCTTGTTGAAGTACCTGCGCACCATGTACTTGTGGATGGAGGTGATGTTGGAGCCCACGCAGACGCGGTAGCTGAGCTCGGGGAAGGGCTGCTGGCCTGGTGGGGGCTTGTAGGGCGAGTCCTTGTAGCGGGCCTGGAAGAAGAGGGCACGCTCAGTGGCGTTGAAGCCCAGGTGGAAGGGCACGGAGTCGTTGATCTTGATGGCCGCCGCCTTGGAAGAGAGCCAGTAGCGCTCGAGGATGCCGCCAAAGCTGTCGCGGAAGGAGTAGACGTCGCTGGTCACGTAGGGCACGGGCTCCTGGTAGCCAGCCAGGCGGATGGGCCAGTGCTGGATGCTCATCTCCGAGCCCCCGTACCAGTGGGCGTCCTCCCAGAACATGGTGTGCTCCACGGCCGGGCCGGCCGCCAGCTCCTCCCAGCGCACGCGGTAGCACATCACCGTGTCCTTGGGCTTCACCGTCTGGATGAAGAAGTTGAGCGGGCCCCGGCTCGAGCGCGAGCAGCTCAGGATCTCGCCCTCCTTGGAGCACGACTCCAGGTCCAGGCTGCCCGAGCGGAAGGCCAGCCGGAACACCACCTCACCGTGCTGGTTGCGGATGACAAAGCCGTCCGCCCGCAGGTCCATCAGCTCCGTCTTGAGCTGCTCCGCCTTCCTCAGGGACACCATGTAGTAGCACCAGGCCACCACCGCTGCAATGAACAGGATGAGGCCCAGCAGGATGGCACCCAGCATCGGCCTCAGCTCCTTGGAGGGCTTCACTGGTGCTACAATGTCAGTCAAGTGCCCTTCTTTGGCACCCTCCTTTGGAAAGTTTCCATGTTTTCCCGAGCGGTGGGTAATCTGAGTGTCCATTATCCCTTTGCAGCCTCAACACCTGGTTAGCAACTTTGCTGCTGAATTCTTTTACTCTAGCTGGTGAAGAGAAAATCCAAGATGCTGCATGAAGCTTTGTCACAATGTCCTTTTCAAAGCTTGGCTGCTCACACCTGCAATGGTTTTTCATAAAACCGAGAGTCATAAACACCAAAACAAGCCAATTAAATCTTGCTGAAGGCTGCAGCTCCTCTGCTCCGTCTGCAGCCCAGCCTCCCTGCCCTCTGTCTCTGGCTCACTTCGCTCTGCAGTGGCAGCCTGCTCACTGGCAGCTGCGTTGAGCTTTTTTGGAGCATGTCTGTGCCAGGATTCCTATGACCCTCTCTTGGCTGCAGCCTTGCTCTGTCCCACAGAGCAAGGATGAAGGGATAAAAGTCAGACTAGAGCCTGGAGGAGAATGGGGCCCGGGCAAGGGGCTGCTGCCTGAGCATACAAACTGGACATCACAGGCTGATCTGTGTTTACATTAATTATGAGCCCTGCTGGATTTCCTCTCCTGCCCACAACCTCCCTGCATTAAACAAAGGCAGAGAAATGCTGCGCTGAAGTTTCCAGCCCCCACCTGCTGCTCCCCACCACACTCCCAGGGATGCAGCTGGCAACAGATGTTTTATCTCCCTATGCACTTTGCTCCTTCCTGAACTGCATGGGGATGTGGGGGTGTGTTTGTGGGGATGTGTTTTTCTTTCCTTTCAACTGCCTGCCCTGCTACCTATTCCAAAGCCATCACCCCAGGAAAGCCCCTCTGGCCCTTGCAGGGGGAAAAGGGAATCTTCCACTACATCTCTGTCTCTGTATTTTTATTATCATTCAGTTCTCCTAATTTATTACCACTCGTTAGCTGCTGGGCATATGCCAGGCAAGATGCTACACTGCAGTGGAGCTGGAAGATGTTTTGGTTCACAGTATAAGGATAGATGTATTAAATTGAAGTTGTTGCAAGACCAGGACTACATCAAAACCTTGTTTTGCTGAGAAATGCACAGAAGGTGACGTGTTCCAGCTGCATCAAGCATCACCAAGCCAGCTAATGCAGCACAGCTGAGTATCTACTGCCAACAAAAACACAGGCAGGAGAAACTGAGGCTGGAGGCTTGAGGCAATGCATTCTGTGCAACCATGTTTGTGGCTCCCCTGGCCCCTTCCTGGGGTCTGTATGATCTGACAGGATGAAAACTTGCAGGAGCAGCCTATATGGAGAGAGGGAAAAGGAGCCAGCTTGCTCATCTGATCTGTGCCCAGCAATAAATGGCTGGGTGTATTTACCCGTGTCACTATGACATCGGCGTCTAAATATACAGAGATGATAAGGCACCCAGGGAGCCATTAAAAATGCCAGAGGTCAACACATTTTGGATCGATCACAGCAGATCCCAAACCACCCAAATTAACTGCCTGGTTAGTTTTTGAAGTGCATTCTTGGGATGAGAGAGACTTAGCTGAGAAAAAGAGCTGGAGTGGATAAAAGTGTTCTCAGGCAAACCCTGGCCAGGGCAGGAGGGTAAGAAAAGGAAGGTTATTGCTGCCCCAAAGAGATGGTGATCCAGGACATGGGTGGTTTTGGGGAACAGGTTGGATTACACATGCTCAGGGCACTCTGCCAGCCCCAAAGGGCTCAGAGCTGGCAGCCTCCCAGTGCTGGCCTGGCTCCTGACACGGCTTTGCAGCTCCGGCCCGGGTGGTTTCCAGCGAAACCCTCGTGTTTTTGCAAAACAACATTTTCATTTTGAAGGTGTTATTGTGTGCTGGGTCAGTCCTCAGTTGCTGACTGAGGAGCTTTCTTCCTCTTCTTCCTTCCTCCTTTCACCGTCCCAGCAGCCTGGGGACAGGACTTCCCTTTAAGACAAGTTGCACCATTTTCCAGGGTGAAAAAATAAGAAATGGAAAGAGAAGGTTTTCTTCTTTCGTTTTTTCTTCTTTCTTTTTTTTTTTTTTTTTTTTTTATATATTAAGCAACACATTAAAAACCCCAGAACACATGGACATCATGACTCAAAAATCTGTCGAAGAATAAAGGATGTGAGGGAAGTTTGCAAGCTTTCTATGCAGTGATTTGACTCCCAGAGAGTTGCTTTAAATCCCTTGATTTCCCCAGGAGCAGAAGATCAGGGGCAGAAAAATCATATACAAGCAAGCTGGAATTCCTGAGCCAAGCCATCCTGTCTCCAGGGATTTTTGGGTTTTCCTCACTCCTATGATGTTGTGGGATGCCATATATATACCCCAGCCCTTCCCCTCACAGAGAAGAGGAGAGATGTGAGTGGTCCGTGGAGACAGCAGGCACTGGTACTTCTGGAGGCAGCAGAGGATGAAATTGGGATTCCTAGCATAGATTCCACCAGGGTAGAAGAGCTTCTGAAGCTGCACTCCCATCCTTTAAAGCTCATGTCTCCAGAAAGCATTAAACATCTGCTGGCCTAGCTGTCAGCCTGAGTGATGCCCAGGGGTGATGAGAAGGACTTTTGCTAAGGGGTGCATGGAAGTGATCCGGAGCCCAGATCCAGCCCTATCCTTGCTCCATCCATGGGTTTATGGCATCACAGAGACCCTTGTCTGGGAATACTTAACTGGTCCTTGCAGAGCCTCTGTGCTCTGGTGAGTGCTTTGTTAACCCCCCCCAAGAGTGCAACCCAAGGCAGGTTGTGCTGAATTCTCCCACAGTGCCCTGGAAGCCAGATGTACCCTGGACACCAGCACTGCTGTGTTATATTTGGGCTGCTTTATCAGGTGCTAATCAGGTATGGATCTGGGCCTGTCTGTCGCCCAGGCTGAAAGAAGCCAGGAGTCCTCACCCCAAGGATCTTAGCAGCACTTAGCATGCACAGATTAAACATTGACATAGCTGTGATAAGCCGAAAATGAGCCAGGACTTTAGACCCTCTTATAGCCGAACGGGAGCTTCAAGGGTTTCAAGTGACGAAACACAAATCAGCCAGCTCAAAGGGCAACTACACCCCTAAACCCCTTATGCACCTACCCTCAGAGTCTCCTTCCCCCAGACCAAATTTATCTCCAGAACCTCCCCCAGTCTCCTGGCACTTGTGTCACGAAGTTTGTCAGGCCTCTATTCAGGAATCACAGCTATGTGATTCCTGAATCCTCAGATTATCAGCATTCTAAGACTCTGAGGCTGCCTCAGTTGCTGCTAAGAGCACCAAGGTCATGATTTTGATCCCTGGATGGGCCACTCACTTAAGAATTGGACTACAGGATGATCCCTGAGAGTCACCTCCAACTCAGAATATTCTGTGATTCTGCATATGTTTACCTTCCTGGTGGTTCAGGGAGAGCATCACTCTTTAAAGAACCCATCAGGAAACAATTTTTCCTTTAAACAGAATGGCAGTTTTCTATATTGAAGTTCCCTTTATAGGTTATCAAACACTTAGTCACTATCAGGTGCTTTTAGCGAGATTATACAACATGTCCTAGCAGAAAGACCCATAGGTAGCTAAACATAATAAGCCATAAACAAACTACTGCCCTGTCAAATGCTGCAAGAACTGATTAATCATTTACCAAGCCCTTTTAGACTGTTTAAAATGGACCTTTTTAGCAGAAAAGCCATGCAAAGTGGAAAGCAGTTCCCATTAGCTCTCATTTCCTGCAGCAGCTTGACAAATATGGGTGGTGTATGGGGGATTTATTGACAATAAAGGGACTCAGGGGAGGTTTGCTCACCATTTTTTCCTGTGCATATAGATGGTGTGAGGAAAGAGGCATCTGCTGCCTCTGCAGCTGAGGAGGGAGAGCCAAGGTTATTGCATGAGCTGCCACAGATTAGCTGCAAGCCCGTCAAGGCTTAACACAAGGTGGAAGTGGCTGGGGGGTGGCTGCATAGGGTAAAGTGACATTGCTCTGCAGTCCATGTGGTGCAGGTAGGGACAACAAAATCTCTGCCAGCAGCACACGGTGCTTACAGAACACCTGCAGCAGCACGAGCAGGTGGAGAGAAAGGACACAGTCAGAGCCTGTCCCTCAGAGTGGTGCAGGATCCTGCTCCACCTGCAAATACACTCATTTGTGTCCTGGAGCAGGGAGGATACCAGCCCTAATGCTGAGTGCACCCCTCACCCTAGGTCTGGGCTTTTAGAAGTGCCCAATAGCTCCAGGGATGGATGGCATGACTGTCCTCACTGCTTCAACCCTTGGCCTGTGAGGATCTCACCCAGCACCTTGGGCTGGAGCAGCAGTTTGGTTCATACTAACCCCATGCCAGCCACAGAGCCCGACCAGCTGGGAGGCCTTTGGCTGTACCCTGCACATGGAGAGACCTTCACCAGCTCACACCACCAGACAACTCTGAGCAGGCCTATTTCTGGAAGCCATCCTGATTTTGGGGACTCTGCCCTGCTCCCCATGGTTCCTGATGCCTGGGGGGTTTTTGTCTCACCTCAGCATGAAGGTGGCTGCACAGACATTGCTGGTTTCTGCCTGTACAGAGTGCTGCTGCAAAGCTGATTACCCTGTGCAAGCCTGACAGTGTCATAAACCCCCTGGAACCTTGCAAAGCCAGCTCAGATCTGGAGCAGTAATATTACCTGAGGTTTTTCCTAATCCAGAGGATTCCAGTCCCTCAGTACTGGGAAAAAAAAAAAGTAGAGTTTACTGCACAGGTCTTTCATTCCTAATTGCTATAGGAACAGGATCTGGAAGATCCATTCCTGTCTTCTTGTTCAAACTCCTCCTCTGAAGCTGGCAGAAAAAAAGCCTTGCAAAATCAACTTTTTTCCCTGTTTCAGGTCTCTCTCTGACTCCTCAAGATGCACACAGTGTCCTTGCACTGCTCCAAGCTGCCAGTAGTGGCCACAGCATCCCACTGCAGCCTGGGAGCTGCTCTGCCCATATCCTTGGGAAGGAGCTCCATCTGCCGAGCCAGTGACCCAGGCTGAAACCCAGGGACCATTGCCAGACCTGTCCCAGGCTGTGGGGTGACTGGTCATCAGGCATCCCCTGGGTACACCGAGCTCATCAGACCCTAT